AGCAGTTCAACTTCGGCTGGCCGGACTCGCTGGACTGCGCCCGGCTGCCCACGCGCAACGACCCGCACGCGCTCTGCATGGAGGCGCCCGAGAACGCCACGGCCGGCCCTGCGGAGCCCCACAAGGGCCTGGGCATGCTGCCCGTGGCGCCCCGGCCCGCGAGGCCCCCCGGCGACCCCGCCTCAGGCCCTGGCGGCGGCGGCACCTGCGAGAACCCAGAGAAGTTCCAGTACGTGGAGAAGAGCCGCTCGTGCGCGCCGCGCTGCGGGCCCGGCGTCGAGGTGTTCTGGTCGCGGCGCGACAAGGACTTCGCGCTCGTCTGGATGGCCGTGTGGTCGGCGCTGTGCTTCTTCTCCACGGCCTTCACCGTGCTCACCTTCCTGCTGGAGCCCCACCGCTTCCAGTACCCCGAGCGCCCCATCATCTTCCTGTCCATGTGCTACAACGTCTACTCGCTGGCCTTCCTCATCCGCGCGGTGGCCGGCGCCCAGAGCGTGGCGTGCGACCAGGAGGCAGGAGCACTGTACGTGATCCAGGAGGGGCTGGAGAACACGGGCTGCACGCTCGTCTTCCTGCTGCTCTACTACTTCGGCATGGCCAGCTCGCTGTGGTGGGTGGTGCTGACACTCACCTGGTTCCTGGCAGCCGGCAAGAAGTGGGGCCACGAGGCCATCGAGGCCCATGGCAGCTACTTCCACATGGCGGCCTGGGGCCTGCCGGCCCTCAAGACCATCGTTATCCTGACCTTGCGCAAGGTGGCGGGCGACGAGCTGACCGGGCTCTGCTACGTGGCCAGCATGGATGTGGCCGCGCTGACGGGCTTTGTGCTGGTTCCCCTCTCCTGCTACCTGGTGCTGGGCACCAGCTTCCTCCTGACCGGCTTCGTGGCCCTCTTCCACATCCGCAAGATCATGAAGACAGGCGGCACCAACACGGAGAAGCTGGAGAAGCTCATGGTCAAGATTGGGGTCTTCTCCATCCTCTACACGGTGCCTGCCACCTGCGTCATTGTGTGCTATGTCTATGAACGCCTCAACATGGACTTCTGGCGCCTTCGGGCCACAGAGCAACCCTGCCTGGCAGCCACCATGCCCGGGGGCCGGAGGGACTGCTCACTACAAGGGGGGTCGGTGCCCACCGTGGCTGTCTTTATGCTCAAGATCTTCATGTCGCTGGTGGTGGGCATCACCAGCGGTGTCTGGGTGTGGAGCTCCAAGACTTTCCAGACCTGGCAGAGCCTGTGCCACCGCAAGATGGCAGCTGGCCGGGCCCGGGCAAAGGCCTGCCGGGCTCCCGGGGGCTATGGCCGTGGCACCCATTGCCACTATAAGGCCCCCACCGTGGTCTTGCACATGACTAAGACGGACCCTTCTCTGGAGAACCCCACGCACCTCTAGGGACACAGGCCTGTGTGGGGCGGCTGTTGCCCCCTCCTGCACCCCCCCCCCTCTGGAGGAGACAGCTGACTAGCAGCTGCCCAGCTGTCAAGGTCAGGCAAGTGAGTGCGAGGGGCCGAGGACCAGGGCGTGGAGCCTCTCCTTCCACCCTCATTCACAGAGACCCAGTGAGGCTCACTCCCCTGTGGCCCAGTGGAGGGGGCGGGCCTGGCCAGGTCCCCACAGGGTCCTGGGGGAGCAGGTGGAGAGGAGGAGGGGCAGAAGGGGGCGTGGTCCAGCAGGGAGTTTATTTAATGATGTAATTTATTGTTGAGTTTCTCTGGAAGCTGTGACTGGAATAAACCCCCGTGTGGCACTGCTGAGTCCTCTGTGGGCTGGGAAGGGGGTAAGGTCAGAGAGTGAGGGTCCTGTAGGAGTCCCCCTGGTGGGGTGAGCTGGGTGGCTGCTGGCCTCATGGCCCCAGCCCCATTCTCTGCCTCCCCTCCGGTCAGGAGGACGTCCCTGTGGAGCAGCTGTCTTTGCAGAAGTCCCAGATTCTGTGTGTGTGTGTTGTCCCCTCTCACCAGTCTTTGCTCTTTTGGGCAACCTGTTTGCCCGAGTCCTGGGTTCCCGCTTCCCAAAGTGTGACCAGGATGCCTGCCAGGATACTCAGGAATCCCCTGAGAGGACACCTCTGGCCCTGGGGACTCTAGCCTGTTTGGTGGCCCTGGGAAAGACTGCTTTCTTCATTTGTATAGAAAACGAGGGCATCAGCCTGTCTCCAAAGTTCCCTTGGGGGCTCAGGATCTGCTCCCGCTGTCTCCTATAGGCCGTCCTACTGTCCCTTCCCTGGGGCCTAAGGGCTAAGGCTGGAGTGACTGTCCTCATTGCCTTCCAAGATTGCTGGTGTGTCCACCTCTCTCCTTGGGCTCCTAGTCGGGGCACCCCACAGCATCCCTTCATCTTACCAGGTGGAGTGGAGATGGGGCAGGACTGGCTCGTATAGGGGCATCTTGGTGGCACAGACACAGGGCATGGGGAAACCCTTGAGCATAGTGGAAATTGGGTCCCCAGCTCCGAAAGGACTGCCGAAGGACTTGGGGTGCTGGGCACCGTGTGAGAAATGGGGCAGGTGCGGGGGCATATGCGTGGCTGCTCCAGGCCAGCTTACATACTCATGTGCCCAGGGACAGGAAAATGTACCTGTGTATCCGTGCGCCGGGCTTCGTCATCTCTGCCCACTGTAAGGAGTGTGTGGCCGTCCCAGAGACGCCCATCGGCTTGGGGCAGGAGGTCAGACCCCAGAGTCCCATCTTGGCCTCTGCTTTGGCCACTGTGACTCCAGCCAGGTGTATCGGTCATTGTCCTGGGTGCATGATCCAGAGCCGGCATTCAGTGTCACTGCCAAGAGGCCCCAAGGGTCCAGCCTCACTTCAGAACCAAGGGGAGGCTCAAGGCCGACTGCTTCCTGTGAAGCAGGGCTGAGTGCCTAAACCCAGGGCCTCTCAGGCCGGAGCTCTTTGCCCTGTACCAGCCACCAAGCTCTGCGGGACAAGAAGGAAGCCAAATGGAGCCCCAACAGGCTGTGTCAGACTCCCATCAGGAGCTAAGGAGAATTAAGGGCTGTCCCTCAGCACAAGCAGCAGCCCAGAGCCCCCAGGAGAACTCTGCCGCCTCAGCACCTTGGGCTTATGCATTTCATGCACGGAATGGCCCAGCCCATCCAAATCTTTCCTTCTCAGAGCACACAGGAGGCCCTCTTGCCTTCTTTACAGCAAAGCCAAGTGACCCTAACACCTTGTAACTCCCTAGGAGGGTCCTTGACTGACAGATTGCGCCTACTGAATGTGACAGGGGCCCAGGTTGGAAGGGGAGACGGTGGCTGCGTGGAGTTAGGCTTGCAGGCCAGGTCTGCAGGGAGTGGCCCCAGTTCACCCCTGTCCCTTGCCAGTCAGCGGCCCTGGGAGAGATGATGCTTGACTAAGTCCCACCCAGCGGAAAAAATTTGGGCTCCCAGGACAACTGGGAGGGGGGTGATGGAGGGTAAGGGGCTCTGCCAGCAGCCTCTCAGCACTTGGGGACACTGGAAGGTCCCAGACCCCGGGAGAGAAGGAAGGAATCGTTTATTAAAGACCTTTTACAGAAGTCCTCCATTAGATCCTTCTCTCCCCATTTTCCAGATGGGAAGTGTTGAGTGCTTGGCTGGCTCAAGGTCACGCAGCCAGGTAGCGTGCAGCCTCCAGAGCCTTTGTGATTTCCACTGCGCCACGGATTCCACCTGGGTGGGCAAGGGATGGCGGGTGTTATAACCTAGGGTGGTTTTGTCCAGAGAAACACCCCCCCACCAGCCCCCAAAAGGAAATTCCAGAGCCCGAGGGAAGTGTCTCGGAAAGCAACACCTGCTGGCCAGTCACTGTGTGTCCCCGGCCCCTCCCTGCCAGGCTTGTGCGTGGGAGACCCAAGTTAAGGGAACTCCTTAGCCCTGACCTATTAGTTCCAAGGAAATGATTCAAAGTTCACAGGAATCGGTGGCGGTGATCTTGACCAAGGTCAGCCTGAGGAGAGGCCCCAGAGTGTCAGTGGCTGCTCACGGCCACACCCCGGAGGCACAAACTCCAGTACTGCCCTGTGAAAAGGTCTGAAGGCTCCGGGCAGGGGCAGTGGTGGAAACTTCTCTTCCCACCTGGTTGGAGTTTCTCAATATCCTGCTAAAGAGGCCCTGGCTCCCGGCAATCCAGATACCACCTCACTGCCACACACCGCCCCCCCCTTCCCCAGACACCGCAGCAAACCCCCCATCCCCTGGGGACACTGCCACCCCACACACACACCCGCAGCACCCTCCCCCATCCTCTGGGGACGGGGTCTGAGGAGAAAGCGCAGGCAGGACGGGGGAGAGGTCTCCGTTGATTCCCAGGAGCAATGCCTCAGACCCCAGTCCTCAGGAGGAAAAGTTCTCTTGTCCCCTCTTGCAGTAGTCAAGGGAAGTTAGGCGGCTCCCCGAGGTCCGAGCCCACAGCAGGGAGGATGGGCTGATGGTTTAACAGGACCAGGGTGCTGACCTCAAGAAGACGTGGCCCCCGGAACACCATCCTAGGGGAGCCTGAGAAGCCCACTGAGGAGAGGACATCACAGAAGTGGCCGAGCCCCCGAGTCCCGCTGTGACCGTGTAGGAAATGCACAGAGGCCCACAGCTCCCTTCCCCAGAGCCGGAGCACTCGTCAGACCGGAGCTGACCTTGGGGCAAACTGCTCACTCAAGCCAGGGGCCCGGCTCGGAGCTCACACTCCCCGAGTGTGGACTCCACAGAGCAACCCAGGGTTTTGGTTTCTCCTTTTTCTGCCCATTTTAGCCAACGCTGCCCCAGGTTCAGGTGGTCAGGAGTCGGCAGTGTCCCTTCTTGGTCAAGGGGCTCACAGAGTGTGCTCTGCAAAATCTTTGAATTCCAGAAGCAGATTGCCACCTAGCAGTGACCTACTGAACCAACCACTCTGACTTGATAAAAACGCCCAGCATAAAAAATAAATGGAGACATAAATAAAATTGCTTATGTGGTAGAACTGATGAAGCAGACTACAAGGGAATTCATATTTTCACTCTTTTTGCGTTATGTTTGAAATTTTCCTGGAAAAGAAGTGTTTTAAAATGTCTGGGATGCCTGGGGTGGCTCAGTTGGTTGAGCGTCCGACTTCGGCTAAGGTCATATCTCACAGCTTGTGGTTAGAGGCCCGTGTCGGGCTCTGTGCTGACAGCTTGGAGCCTGGAGCCTGCTTTGGAGTCTGTGTCTCCCTCTCTCTCTGCCCCTCCCCCGCTCATGCTCGGTCTCTGTCAAAAATAAACATTAAAAAAAAATTTTTTTAATGTCAGCAATTGCCCCTAAATTAATTCTTCCAGCCCCAAATTCCCAGCTAAGCCTTTAGAAATATTTGTCTCTAATTACTAGAAAAATGTTTTTAAAGTTTGTTGTGAGAGAGAGAGCGAGCGAGTGCTGGGGCAGGGGGGCAGGGATGAGGGCAGAGACAGGGAGAGAGGGAGAATCCCAAGCAGGCTCCGAGCAGTCAGAACAGAGCCTGATGCAGGGCTCGAACTCACAAAACCATGAGATCATGACCTGAGCCAAGATCAAGAGTC